GGTGCAGACCATGGGGAGCCCTGGGCGGGCACCCACACCCGATGTCACAGCCAGCTCGGCCCAGGCGAACGTGCTGAAGATGCTGCAGGCGGCCAAGGAGATGGTGACGACGGCCAGCGTGGGCGGCTCCCTGGAGCAGGCCACCCGCACCATCGAGGACTGGAGCAACCACAGCGAGCGCCTCCAGACCACCTTCTCCCTGAGGACACCCCAGCTCGTGGTGCAGAACAGCACCGGCGCACACCGGGCCCCCTCCTCTGGCCCGCACCCCACCGAGAGGATGGGGAGAGCCTACACTCCCAAGGGTGCTCCCCTGGGGCTGCCGCTGCCCCAGCCCATCCCCGTGGACTGCCGGCTGCACGGGGAGGAGAACTGGAGAGGGGCAAACGAGTACCCCCGCCTGCTACACCCCGTGAAGTTTCGGGGTGGCTGTGCAGGGGATGAAACCCTCACGGGATTCCCCCACCTCCTAGTGAAGACTTCCGCAGGGGGGGATTATGGGGAGCAGGTGCTGGTGGGGAACCATATCGGGGCTCCCCTCCCGCCCCCCACGTCCCCCAGGGACCTCCCACCGCCGGACATCTACAGGGAGCACAAGCGGCCGTCGGGACGGGGGGACCGGCTGCAAAACAACCCCCTGCTCCAGGGGGACGGGGGACACGGGGGCTCGGGGACACTGCCCCGGCTGCTCTCGGCAGCGGAGAAAAAGCGGGATGTGAGCAGCCTGCCTCCATCCTGCTCTCGCGGAGCCTTCCCGAAAGTCACCAGGACTTGCAGAGCCAGGGGCGAGCCGGCTCGGCTGGAGGCGGAGCGGGAGAAGCTGAGCCGGTGGGCGAGCTCGGCCAGGGCTCCCGGGGAGCGGGGCGAGAAGCGGCGTCCCGGGGGGCTGCGGCGCTGCGGTGCCACTCGCCCGCCCGCCCGCGCCGACGTGCCCGACCTGTTCCCCGAAGCCGAGCCCGGCTACGGCTGCAGCCCCCGCTGCCCGCAGGCCGCCGGCCGGCTGGCACCGCGCTCGCCCGTGACCAGGCTGCCGTCCTACCGGGAGGCTTGCCGGCAGAACCCCCGTGCCACCGCCGCCGCGCCCCACGCCTGCATGAACTCCTACGCCAACCTGCCCTTCTTCGTGGGGCACCTCTCGCGGGGGTCCTCGCCGCCCCGGGAGCACCCCGGGCTGCACCCCTGCGGCCGGGGGTCTGCGCGCTGGGACGGCGGCTGCAGAGACTGCGGGAGGCGCGGGGAGCTGGCCTTGCTGCGGGCGGTGGGCACGGAGAGGAGGGACCCGCTGGTGGCCCGCGGAGTGGCGAGTCCCTGCGCCGGCGGGTCCTGGCGGCGGGTCTCCAGCCTGGAGTCGGAGGTGTGATGGGGGGGGACAAGGGGGTGCCCGCACCCCTCTGCCTGCCCTTTGCCCGGGTGTCCCCACGGGCCAGGCAGCGGCTCCCGGCCGGGCTCCTTTCTCCCGGGGTCCTGCACCGTCGGCAGTGGGATGCTCCAAGCGGCTCGGCGGGTCCCGTGCGCTTTGGGAGGGTCGGAGGAGCCTGGCAGGGGCTGGTACACGCTGGCTCGGGCTCTCCCCACAGGCAGGGCTGGCATCGGGGACGCCAAACTCATTGCCGCCTGTGTTGCCGTCACGTTTCGTTTCATTCAAGGGGACTCGAAACGCCATGTTCAGGTCATTAAAGAGACATTTTCAGCTGGCTGGGGACCCTTCTTCCATCCTCCGATGCTGAGCTCGGGGCTGCCCTTTGCATCGTGGGGATATTCGTGGTCCTGTGCACCCTCTCTCCGTCCGTGTCCCGTTACTGCTGAGACCCGGCACAGGCTCATCCCACCAGCGGCAGAAAGGCAAAGGAAAATGGCAACTCATTAAACTGCGCTGAGGGATAATTAGGAGCCGTCAGACTGCGCTGAGGCTGCAGCCGAGCACTGGAGGCTGAGTTCCTGCCCCCTGCTCGGGATTTGGGGTGCTGGGCACTGATGGCCATGGGTTCGGGTGAGTGATGCTGCAAACGGCAGCCTGGTAGGGATGCCCTGCTTGGCACAGCAGCACCGGGAAGGTGTGCTGTGGGGAACGAGAAAGGGAAAAATTCCTCCCACCTTCTGAGGGCTGATGGAGCCATAAATCAGGTGTGATAGATGAGCCAGGTTTAATTCTTCTCTTGATGTACGTCTGACACAGCCCTTTCCCTGCTGGGCTGGGGCTCGGGCAGAGGCGGCCGTGACTCAAAGGCAGCCCCGGGCAGGGGAGGGGGTCTTCAGGAAGTGGGAACCGAAGCCTCGGGGGCCCCGGGCAGCAGCCAGGGCTTTGCCAGGCAGTACCAGCCCCATCCCAGAGCAGCGCCAGGACTAGACAAAGCCGCCCGTGGCAGGCTGTCCCAGGGAGAAGACAACGCTCAGCCCCTCTTCCCAGCTGGTTTGGCATCGCCTGCCTCCATGAACGACTCCCCAAGAAGCTGCTCTAAAGCTACATAATTTTTTTTTCCTATTTCAAAGCAGCTGTTGGAGTTGCTGTCAGCCAGCACGCAGCCGAGTCTGGTAACAGTGGGATGATGGCAAGGACTGCTCGGGGACAACCAGCCCTACCCCAGGGATGGCTGCAAAGCCCCGGGGAGGTCAGGAAGGACCTGGCCACGTGTATTTCAGGCTCAAAAGCATTGGCAATCTCTGTCTGTCCATCCATCTGTCCATCAGTCCCTCCACCCATCTGTCTGGGGTTAAATCCAGCCAGTCCCCCATCCCCCCAGCCTGGCTGCCATCACACACTGGTGCCAGCGCTTTCATTCCCTTTACTTATTTATCTTCGCAATTGTCTCTTAATTGCTTTGGCAGCCCCTTCAAGCCTCCTGGTGAGGGAGGGAGGTGCTGGTGTATAAATAAAGGCCATAAATAAATAAACCCAGTTGACAGTGAGGGGATCCAGCCAGGCTGCCCCAGGAGACAGCACCCATTTGCCCCAAGCAGCTCTCCCCATATGTGCCCCAGATGGCCCTGCGAGTGACAGGCTGGTCCCCAGGAGGCTCCAGTGTGGCCTTGGGAACTTCCCCCAAATCATGGCTTTCTGGCCCAAGGAAACCAGCACACACAGCTGCAACCAAACTTGAGCTGGCGTTGGGGATGTGAGAGCAAGAGGGAGCAGAAAAGGGAAAATCAAAAAGGAAATATCAAAAATCCCCAACCCACATTTTAAATTAATTAATGATGTCCCTGGTGACTCAGCAGAGGCCAAATGGATCCGCTTCATGTTTTATTGAAGGATTTTGCTGCAGGAGGCTGAGGACAGTGAGAGACAGGGCAAACGGGGTGCTGAGGGTGCTCCCAGGGGAGGTGGCCCCGGGGTTGGGTGTCAGCATCCAGTGTAGGGCCAAAGCTGTCCTGGGTGCCTCATGTGAATGCCTAGGTCCCCTGCCACCATGGTGGCACTTGCATAATCATCTTTACATGCTAATTAGGATGGAAAAGCACAGGTTTTCTCCCATTCCTGGTGCCAGGCACTAACCTGGGCACTGCTGGAAGAGGAGGTGATTGGGGTGTAAGCAGCCCAGAGCAGGCAGGACCCTCCAGGACCAAGGGGGGCCTGTAGTGCTCCTGCAGCATCCCCTTGCCTCTGGGTGCACCAGGGACAAACCTGCAGGGAAGCAGCAGCCTGGAAGCACCTTCTGGCTGGGCTTTCCAAAGAGGGGTTGGGTAGTTTAGTGCTTAACAGCCGCTGAGGGATATTATTTCTTTTTGGTGAAATTGTCTAATCAATCACTTTTTAATTCAGCCGGCTCTGGCACCCGGGACACCCCAGGACACTGTGGCCTGTCTTGCAGAGAGAAATATGGCTGGATCACTGCTGGCCATCCACCTTCAGGGCTCAGCCCCACTGGGGGGGGGCAGGCAGTGTTCCCCAAACCCACCCCTCACCTCTGTCAGCTCTGAATCCCCATGGCAGGCATTACTTTCACTGCCCCCATTGCTTTGCATCGTGAGACCCATCCTGCTGAGGAGAGGGGGAACAAGGCAGGCCAGCACAGATCAGCCCACCAGGAAGAGGTTCCAATGGCAAGGATGTGCTGGTGCTGCTATGGGGAGACAGTCAGGGCAGGGGGAGCCGGTTAAATCACAAATCAGAACAGATTAAAGGCCAGGAAGGTGCAGGTGCCAGCACAGGGACAGCAGGGCACTGCCTTGTCTGTGTTCAAGGATGCCCGAGGGAGTAGCAGAGCAGCCACCTCCTGGTTCCTGACTCCTGCCAGGGCAAAGCCATGGCACGAAATCTTCCCTGGCCGAGCCCTTGCAGCAGGTGCCCTTCCCCAAACCATCAACAGCCCCCGGGATCAGGGCCTGCTGCCCAAATCCATCCAAGGGATAACATGGTAAGCACTTTGTCCCTGAACCTTCAAACAGCTGAATCCCCTCAGGGACACGTGGCTCCTTGGTGATGGTCAAGCCTTGCCTAAACCTTGTCTAAACCTGCCTCTCAGGCTGGAAGTTTTTCTACTTCTTTCCCTGGTCATTGCTCTTCCAAGTGTTGCAATAGACTGAATCCATCCCCGATGCCAGTTTGGCCTCAGATTTATGGCCCAAGCCCCAAAATCCACCGCCGCTTGTGAGGTCCTTCGAGAGAATCACAGCAGAAAGTGTTTATTTCCATCATAAAGATCTGCTTTAATATTTTAACATAAATCAAGCTGCGCTTTATGGTGATAATAAATTCGTTGGCAGAAACTGCCTTTGCAGCCCGAGGCGGCGGAGCAATTCAATTTGTTTGGTTTTAAGTGTAAGGAGCCGTAATTGAGAAGGGGAAAGTACAGATGTTTTAATTGAGTTTGCAGCTACCACCCAGAGTTGCAGGAGCCTAATAGAGAGGAAGAGGTGAGGGTCTCCATTAGCCTCTCGGCTTGCCATTTCTCCTTGGCCTGCAGCCCCATCCGTCACGGCCGTCCCCGCCAGGAATAGCTACTCCGTGCCTGCACACGAGGAGGAAGGGGATGGAAAAAGAAGTCAGACTAAACCAGATGTATAATGTGCATTTTATTGGTTTTAATCCCTTTTTTTTTTTTTTTTTAAAACTAATTACAGTCAGGACAAGCATCACGTGTGAATCTGTAATAATGAATTGTTAGTGCTGATAATGGCCAAATAAAAATAGACTCAATTCGCGATGGGTGAGAGGAGAGAGCTCATGCCCCGCACCCAGGGGTCACACAGCATCCCTCCAGCCAGCGCTGGCTGCACTGAGCCATCCCCTTCCCGCTTTCTCCAGTAATTTTTAAGGCATTGCTATGTCATGTTTTATATGAAAAATGTTCTCTGCCGTAGAGCTTCTTTCCGTTAACCACCCCAATTCCTCGGATATATTTGTTTTGCTGCTGTGCAAGGACGATGGGTGTCTGGGAATTCGTGGTTATTTATTTGAGAAGCACTCATGCTCCTTTGGGGAGCAGAGTCCTTCCCAGTAAGGTACCACGGCAAAGGCTGGGGCCAGGGTGTGAGCCCTCAGTGTGCCACTGCATCCAAAACCTGAATCCAAGCAGCTCCTGGAGGTACAGCCCCTCAGAAGTCACTGTCACACACTGTGTCGAGGGGGACATATGGGGCAGGGAAGAGAAGGCACATCTGTAAATGTAAGAGGTGGCAGGAAAGGGGAGGGGGTGTCAGGCTGGGCACTCTTCCTCCCCTATCCCAGGCAGGGCCAGCGGGGCAGCCCTGAGAGAGGAGGGGAGGGCGAGAGGAGATGGAATAATGGAGAACGGCCCCGTTCTCTGGGTGCAATGAAATGTGAAGGCAAGAGGCTGAAATGGGCATGTGGAGGGCTGGGGCTGAGCCTTGCAAAGCACGGGCAGCCCAGGGCAGAGAGAGCTCTCAGTCCCTTCCATGAACCCACACCTGCACACTCGTGCAGAGGAACAGCCCCCTCAGCCTCTCCAGCTTCCAAAGGCTCATTTCGTCAGCATTAAATTCCTCCCTCCAGCTCTGCCCAGCTCCCAGCTGCCTTGCAGGTGGCTCCCAGCTCAGCTGCCCCATGAATCTGCCCTCCAACCTACTGCTTCCTAAATGAGACACCAGCACCAGCTACCTGTAAAATACCTTCTTAATTTGGTACTGAAGATGCTACATCAGCTTCTCAGGAGCTCTTGGGGATGTTTAAACTCACTAGCAAGGGCTGCCAAAGCCTGTTTAGGATCAAGCTGCCGAGAAGACAAACAGTCCCCCCGGATCCTCTCCAGGCAGCTCCACAAGGACACAGTGGCAGTGCTCAGGCTCGAGAGGTGCAGGGTTTTGCTCTAAAAGCCATGAAGTGGTTTTATACAGCTCCAGGTACTTGCATATTCCCCCAGGAGGAGCACTTCAGGTCATATGGAAACCAGAAAGTCCTACTTGAAAACAGAGCTTGATTAAAAAGAGCTGCAGTTCAAAGCTTGCTTTAGTGAGTGGTGACATTTAATACTGCAGCAAGTGCAGAGGGCAGGAGGATCTGACATGCACCCGGTTTTGAACCTGCTTAGATAACAGGGGGTTAAAATATTTCAGGTGAAGACTTTTAATGTTCTTCCTTTTGTCAGGAAACCCCATTTGATCTGTGCCCAAGGGCCTCAGAGCACAGGACTTGGTGTTGTTTGTCACTGTGTGGTGTTACAGTGACCACAATTGCCTTAAAAGCCGAGGCTCACCTAGAGCTGCCTAAGGTAAGAGCAGCCCCATTCTCAGAGCAGCAGAGCAGGAGCAGCCCAAAGCCCACCTTAACTCTGTGCAGAAGGAGAAGAGGGGGGATTCAAGCCCAGTTCCAGCACGGTTTCAGGTTTTGCTGCCCCGTTTTGGGAGCTGTGCTGCTGCAGGCAGGACTGAGCCAGGACACGGCCGGTTCCTCCTGGCACCAGCACATTCCCCTGAGTTAACACCCACCTTGTTTCAAGGCTAATTACCCAGCACGGGGAGCTGGGAACGCATCACTGTGCACAGCCGGAGCTCCGCGGGCCTCTCGCGTGTCAGGACTGGGTAATTAGCACCTCCGCAGCCCATTCCCGATTCCCACCGCTGGAGTCAGGGCCTGGCTGCTTGTAGCAGCCCCGTGCAAAGGGGAGAAAGGGACAAGGGTTCTGGCAGCAGGAACGCCCGAGCCGTGTGCTGTTGCCGAGGGACGCAAGGCTGATTGATTGCCTTTCCAGGGGGAAGAGCTGTATCCCTGCATGCAGAGGGGTATTGCTCTGAGCAACTGGGCTGCCACAGCACAAGAAAACAGGATGGAAGTGTTAATGTAAACTCCCGGGGTGGAGAAATCCAGCTCTAAGCTACAGATCCCAGATCCTAGGCAATCCATGGTGCACCAACAAATTAATGACTCTAGAAAATGAAAATGTAACTGCAAAAAATTATGTCCTTCTGAATTAGGTCTATTCCCACTCTAATTTCTTCCTTCAGGTGGCACAGGAGGTTGGTTTGAAGGAGTCTCAGCAGAAGGGAGACTCAGTTCTGCCAAACTCCTGCTGGATTCTGCACAGCACACCCCTGCCTTTGGGAGAAGGGATATTTAGCCAATCAGTGCAGTGAGCAGCCGAGGCTGTCTGCTCTTCTGTGTGCCGAGACCTGCAGCACTCAGAGAGCCACTGAGGGACAGAGAACGTGCTGCTCCGACAGAGCCGAAGGCAGAAATGGCTGGACACTGGTTAATGGTGCAGGCTGCCAAGGGCTCAGCCCCAGGGCTTTGTCTGAGAACCACAACTGTGACAAGGCTGAATCCACTCCATCCACACCCAAAATGGAGCGAAGAAAGTCTGTGTCCAGGTCTGACCCGTGTCACCAAGCCAGTGGCCTGGAAACTTCCCTTCACACTACCTCTCCCCTACTGCACAGTCCCAGAGGGGGAGCTGAAATGCTGGAGTCTCTGGAGCCCCAGAGGGAATGTGCTGCTATCCCCCATCAGAGCTTTGACTCGCTCAGGACAATGTTTGCAGTCACAAACACAAAGCAAGAAAAGCCCCAAATGAGCACAAACACAATCCAGAAGGTGTGCCTGAAGGGGGAGAGGTGCTTGTTCACCGTCCCGCTGCCAAAGACCAGCTGAGTGTCCTTCCGACTGCAGTATGCGAGGAAAGCCGGGATGAGATACTGGATCCCATTCCCAGCATAGGCTCCTGTGATCCCCACCAAGGACTCCAGATCATGGGTGCAGAAAGCCACCAGCACTGGGGGAATCAATGTGATGGCAGGAAAGACAATCCTATCCACCACCCACGGGTAGGTCCCCCCTTCTCTGTGGAAAAGGGTCTTCCAGTTGTTGCGCAGGGTCACTGCGATGATGGGGAAGTTGGTGCTGATGGTGAAGACGGGGAAGAGGCCCAGGAAGTACCGAATGAAGGCAACGTTGATGATCTCACAGTTGGTGAAGTTGAGCGTGTACATGTCCATGAGGGTGTCGTTGCGGAAGCAGTAAATGGCAGTGAAGGACAGGAGGCTGTAGAAAGCCAGGATCAGGATGTAATCGAGCAGCACGAGCTTGTTGACATGCTTCTTCTTGGAGATGGGTGTGATGAGGGATGGCAGGGAGTGCTGGCACATGAAGGAGTAGACGCACACCCCAAAGAGATTGCGGATGCCCGACAGCTGGGCCATGGACGGGTGACCTTCAGCTTGGCCTCTGCTGATGCGGATGAGGGCCAGAATTATCATGAGGATGAAAGCTGGAGAGAGAGAAGGTTTCAGGTCAAGCCCAGGCCCACACTCCCCACGACCCTCCTCCCATCACACCATCAGTCTCGGCACCAGCTCTCTCTCCTGCTATGCAAGAGCATCTCCTTATCTCTTTGATGTACCACCTTATCTGAGGGTGGTACATCAAAGGTAAGGTGCACAGGAATTAATTGTGATTTGCTGTCAGTGCCAGTCAGCAGATAAGGTTATGGGCTCAGGCATCTCCCTCCAGTCTCCTTCCCACAGGGACTTGCCCTCCCACCCCCAAGAGCACAGGGCTGCCCTGAGCTCTTTGGAAGCATAAGGTTAACATGGCTGGGGAGCCCATCACCCTCAAGGCTCTCAGTGTATGGATGCTTCTACCACACACACTGGCTCAATATCACCATTTAAAATGGCTTAAGAGATGTTTGAGCTTTGACCTCTAAAGAAAGACAAGATTAAATCTGGCTCCAGTCAACCTCAGAAATATTTCTACACAGTTGCAACTGAAGTAATGTTTCCAAGACCTCCCCTATGTCCCCTACGTGCACAAGAGCAGCAGCTACTACCAAGTTTTCCTGTCCCTGTGATCTGTCGAGCATGATAGAGCAAGAACTAGCCAGCCATTTCCTGGGCAGGAGGAACAGGCTGTCTGTAGCTAATCCCAGGGTGGAGAAGCCAGTCTGGAAGGGACTAAAGCAGCAGTGAAAGACTGCTATTAAAATTCATCACTTCTAGGCACAAAGTCTGCTCATCTTTCCCCTTCACTTATGTTGGGGAAGAGCCTAACAACATTTTACAAAGCTTATCACAAACAGCAACGTGCCAGGGACAAAATGAATTGAGGAGATCGGGCTAATGCCCCTATTTACTCTGAGGGTCGAAATTTGAGCCAGCAGCAGTTACTGTGAGACTCTCATTCCTAGCATGGCACATAAAACCAGCAGAAAACTAATTCTGGTGTCACAAAAATCGCATCAACCTGGGAAAGATGATCATCAGCTGCTGGAGTTAACAAGCAACAGAGGGGGGAAAGGACCTGCCTGGCAGGGCAGCAAGCAGCGAGATTTACAGTCTGGTGCTGGCAATGGATGGGCCACTGTGGCTTGCACAGAGCTGTCTGTGCACTCTGTGAGGGAACAGAGCCGTGAATTATCAGGTAATGAAAAAACAACAAAATGCTGAGACTACTATTACAGACAACTTTGAATGTCATAAATATAAATACAGAGGAATTAAACTGAGCAGTGCACAGTCCAAGCTGGGAGCCAGGCAGGCTCGCTGTGGGGTGACAAGGACACTGGCTTGTTCCGTGCCCAGTCCTGCTCTCCCTGACACAGGCAGCTGGAGATGGGGAACTCTGCCAGGGATGGGACTAGGGAAGGCAGTTACAGACCAGTTAGTGAACACTGCCTGTCCTGTGCCCAGATTAACCTTACTAAACATCGGCTCCTGCACACCCCCAGCGCTCTTTGAAACCCAGTTTCTCCTCTCTCAGTAATCCTCTTCCTCCTGCTGCAAACACCAGCTCCAAGCTGCACGCCACATTTCACCTCATGCTGCCTCAGGAAACCTCTCGCTCCCAACCGTTTCCCAGTGACAGGGCACATCTAACAGCCCTCCACAAACACTGGACTGATGGCAGCAGATCCATTCCCTCACAGCACCACGAGGGCTCGGATGCTTTGGGAGAGCTGGGCTCTACCGACTCCCCCGAGAGCTATCACAGAGGGCTGTGGAAGGCAACAGCTCTTTGCTCTGGGGGTGTGCAATTCCCCTCGCCTTCACTCAAGCCAGTGAGCGAGGGGCACTGCGAACACAGGTACAGTTTTTGTGCCTCCCCCACATGTCCCGGAGGGGAGACGCCTGCCAGCCATATCTGCTCAGCAAGAAAGCCGGAAAGAGCTGTGTTCCGGGTGATGTGACGTGGCTGCGCTCCCCAGGGCTGCACAGCCTACAAGGAAGAGGAGAAGATGCCCTGAGCAATAAGACAAAGCAGGCTGGGCAGCTCTGGATATGTGCTGAGACTGTTCCTTTCCATCTTGCCTGGGAGAGCTGGTTGAGCTCTGTGGCCCAGAGCTGAGCTGGTCCTGTATCTGGACTAGGTAAGACTCGGAAGCCTTGCGCCTCTTCCCCTGCACACCAGGCAGTGAATCTCCTTGTGCTCTGCTCAGCAGAATGATAAGTGACCTACTCTCACCATTGTCTCAAAGTTCCACTTTCTGCACCAGTGCCAACAGGACCAGTTCAGGGGAGCTTCCAGGTGGGCACCTCATCCTCGGAGCACCTCCCATCTCCTCTGCCCTGACATGTGCTTTTCTGGCAGGGAGCACTGAAGGAACAGAATTCTTGTGCATTCCCTAAATGATAGAAAGAAGTCTTTGGCTTGAGCAACCAGAATTTAACACCTTTGTTTTTTCTTAAATACTCATTTCAGAAATTAAACTTACTAAAATTACAAGGAGTGACAATCTAGTGTTTCCAGCAAGGCAAGCTCTGCTCCCCCTGCCCGAGCACTGGTGTTCTGCAGATGCAAGATCCTTCAGAGAAATGGTGCTGGGTAAACTGGAAACCTCCCCTGCACAATTCCAGCCCTAGAGGACAACAGTAGCCCTGCCCCGATGGTTGGTTTCTCTCCCTCCCTGCAGCAGAAGAGTTTCTCAATTCTAGAACCGGAGAGCTAAAACATTTGCATGTCAGATTTATCTCTCTGTCCCTGGGAGGAGGCAAGCCCAAAAACGACACTCTGAAACCTAGATATGGTTTGGATGATAAGTCAAGATGAAAAGAAGATGACAGACTGACTGACAGGCAGCTTTGAGCAGAAAAGAGGCAGCACAGGATCCTCAGGCACACAAAAAGCTCCCACTCACTCACATCCTCTACCTGGGACAGCAGGCTGAAGGCTCTCACACAACAATACTTTGTGTCACCTACAGCTGCCACATCAACTGTCCCAACAGTGTTCCTTCACCACAAGGATCCTGGTGAAGTCAGACATGGGTTCATAAAAAAACCTCTCGATCTGTTCCTCTCCACACAGGACAAAGGATGCTCCAGGGATAAAACACCTTCAGACACCATGACCAACAGCACCCAGAGCCAGGTGGGCAGTGATGCCACCGTGGATTGTTAGTTGCTTACAAGAAAACTTTGCTTTACACCTTGTTTTATATAAATGCTTAAAAAGCAATCGAGGATTTTGCTCGTCCTGATTTTTCCACACTGTCAGACCCACTCCAAACCCCCAAACCACAGGCTTGGCTCAGAGGCACTTCTTGTCTCATTTTCTCTCCTCTAGATGTTCAGCATCATTTTTGGTGTAGGATGGAAGTGAGCCTGTGGAAAAAAATAAAGAGGGGCTACGCCATAAAGGAAAAGTTGTGATGAATCTCATCCCAAACATCCAACTGCCTCCCCTGCAGACTCTCTTTGCTCCCATCACTCTTTGAGCAGCGAACACTGGCTCTTCTCAGATAAAGAAGACCTTGCAGACAGCTACTGCTGCCTCTCCTGCTTGACTGAGATGTTGATTCAGAGACAGGGCAGTTCTGCTCTGGTTCTTGTAGGTGAAATAAGGCTGAATATGGATGAGCAGGCATCCAAAGAACACTTTGGGAAATATGGGAGTCAGGGGATATTAAGAAATACATTTTTGTGCACTTTGATAGAAGAATAACAGAGCTGCAGAGAAGCAGTGAAGATAATTTAGCCATTCCAAGTTTAAGAATCGTTTTGCAGAGCCAGAGAAAACACCTTTGCAAATGAAAAATGCTGTTTGTACATGAGCTTCATCTCTCTGCAGAGAGGCTATTGCAGAAAAGAATAAGTCCAAGGCTAAACCACATTTGTTTTCCCCCCATCATGGTAGGTTCCTGGAAGAACTGATGCTCAGAATGCGCTTCTGGCTTAACCCTCCCTTGCATCCCTGGAAGACACTACATTTGTGAGATGGGCACGTCTTCTCCAACCCTGTCCCTGCTCTCATTCCTCCTTCCACGAGCAAAGCCCAGAGCAAACATCACCGTACCTGCCTGCTGTCCCTTCCAGGGACCCAGAGAGGCAGTGGAGTGCAGCCACCCCACGCCTGGCTGCTCCCCTGCCCCCCAGCCATTAGTCTGAGCCGGTGCCACGCGGCGCTGCCGACACGTTTGTGGCAGGGCCATCCGTCACCGCCGGCTGACGCCGTGACAGAGCTTCCCTGTCGAAGCAGAGAATCAATATGCCAGGAAATAATGATAATGAATCACCCTTTCCCAACATGTGCCACTTGCTTCCCTTTTCATACATTAGGTGGCAAGATGGATTCCATGAGGGAGATGTTTTCAGGAGCTCCCTGAGCCCAGTCTCTTTGGAAAGAGGAAGATCTCTCCCCACCTTAACCCTGATCCTCCATCAAGCCAATACACAGCAGACCACTCTTAAACAGAGGAACAGATCTCGTTTAGTTTAGTGTTAGGCAGCTCCTTCAGGAGAAAGGGCATAAATGCAAGAGCATCTGCTCTGTACACACTGAATGGCCCACTAGCACATCAGTCAGTCCTACCTTCTGCATCCCTTCCCTGTTGTCTCCTTCCCTGCTGATTTCTTTCTAGGATGCTGGTGCCCACCCCCTCAGAGCCAGCTGCCTTCCAGCAGTGTTTTGGGTAAGCTGAAGAGCCCACTGTGACTCTGGAACTGCCAGGCATTATCGATACTGTGGCATTTAAACTATTAAAGCATGGCTGGAGTTCACCATGCTGGCAGAACAAAGTATCTGAAATTAAGACATTGATTTTTAAATTTAAAACTCATTTAGCCAGTTTCTCTTGCAGAAGCTATGTCCTGCCACTTGTTCATGACCTCCAGCTCTCTGTAAACTCTGGAGCAGCAGCTGATAAATTTCTCCAACCTTCAGAGGGGGTTTCTATATGAATTGACTGTAAAGAGGTAACATGAAAACCAGGTTTGCTCCATCAGTTGTGGGAGCTGGAGTAGTTAAGGATCACATTTGACGACGACAGACCCTAAAACACTGTCTCTAGGAAGATGAAGGATTTATGAGTGCAGAGACTGTGAGGAAGCAAGATGGATATGCTCATAGAAGACAGCAATTCTCTGGAGAGAGATGTCAGAAGGAAAAGAGGAGGGAAATTACTTCTCAGAAGAAGGGTATGAGCAAAAGTTGTGGAACATGTGTGGCTCCTTCCTCTAATGGAGCGTTACCCTCCCTGCCCCAAAGCCTGAGGCAGGTCCACCTGGCAGGGGACTGTTGCTCATACAGCAGGGGAGGCACAGCCACATGTTGGGCAGGTTAAGATCACAGAAGTGTGACACATCTTACCAGGAAGGCAAGAAAAAGCCTCTGAGGCATCTCCACTCCCCCAGCTTTGACTGGGTCCTGCTGCAGCCGTCTCAGACTCTGCTGCCTTGGGCCAGGCAGAACCTGTTTCTTTAACAAAGGGAAACTTCATTAAAAAGTACCATCAGGACTTTTTGGCAGCCAAAAGCGGTTTAGCAGGGCTTCTCTGCTGTAAGGGCATCATCTCCCTGCTTTCCTTCATCAGGTTCACAGTAAACCAAGGTTTACAAGTAGCCTCCCCTACTGTGGTAACAACTCCTGCTGTGAACCCGTCCGAGCTGCCCCCTCTCAGCCCACCTCAGCTGGTCCCACAGACATCTGCACACCAGCAACAGTTCACAGGGAGAAAAACGGCTCTGCACTCGGGTGTTTATCATGGATATTTTCTCTCAACATATGGGAAGGAAAGAGCAGCCAGCGAGGCTTGTTTGCTTCTGGTGGAAAATTACCCGCGTAGTTTATTGTCCTCTCTCCGCTGGTCACCCTTGGCAGAAGCACCATAAAGCCTCTGCAAGCAGGACTCTGCTCTCAGCTCTGCTATTGACTTGGCCTGTTAGCTCTGACAGTCACTTCTCTGTCCGTGTCAGAATTTATTCTTCTGTGAGAAGGGAATGACACACATTTTGGTGTCACCGTGAGCCTGAGCTACAGCTGCGTGTGCTCGGGAAGCACTGGGTGCAGAACACCCACATTCCATGAAATCCAGGTGCTTTGCAGCCTTAACCACATCATCCCCATCCTGCTCTGGGCCCTACCCAGAAAAGTTTTTTATCAGAGCAGCTTTTCATGCCACACCCCCACTCTGAAAACCTGTGTGAGCACCGTCATCCAGACCCTTTAGCAGGGCTAAATGTGTCCTTACATTTCCAGCTCCCCTTCTTCAGCTCTCAGACCCATCAGTGTCTCCTGCTGCATGGATAAAGTGCTCTTTTCAGCGGCATCAGCTCCTCAGGCAGGATCTGAGTTGTCCTGTCCAGCACTGCATATCACTCTCCATCTGCATCTGAAGCTAACAAGGCTCTTTCCCTCACACAGGCACTGCTTCTCCCCACTGCCCCCCACAAACAGGACTGAAATGAGCTCCTCAGCCGACAATTCCAAAAGCAGGCATGACAGAAGCACAGCATTTTAACTAACTCTTCATAAATATATTCACTTCTCTTAGTGAATTATTTACCCTGGGCTCCAGCAGCAGCTTCATCTGCTCCAAAAGGGATATAAGAACATGAAGTAACTTTGTTGAAGCAGCTTGTCAGAATAAACATGCAACAGTGTCCTGATTTACAGTCCAATTCCCTCTTCTTCCTGTACGCCCTGCACTGTGGGAGGGAAGGGGCAGAGATCAAAATGGTCCCTCCTGAAGCTGTTTGCAGAAAGCTCCGTTTCTGATGTGAAAACAGGCCACCCACCTTGAGGACTGTGGCACTGGCAGACTAATCTCTCTGCAGGAGACTGGAAGCACAGGACTTCAGATAACTGTCACCCCCATCCTAAATCAGCTTCCTCTCTAATTCTCACTCCCAGCAGCTGAAGGGACATGGCAGAGTGACTCCAGTTTTCTACACTGAATCAACTCCAGCACAGCTGGTTCCACTGCTAAGGATGGCAGGGACAGTTACCTGAGACTGCTCACAAGGTGAGATGGTCTGAGACCAGTTTTCTGCAGAGCAGTGCTGTAAAGAGCAGGGCTCTGGTGGAGAGAGCAGAACTACCAGAGAAATCAGCAGATATGGAAAGTCAGCCCCACTGGCATGCTCTGGAGAAGGCTTCCCCAGAAACCTTCTGCCAAGTATCCTGGAAGGGGATGGGGTGGAGAAAAAAGGGCTTAACACAGACTTCCAGGCTATTCTTGTCTGATTTCCCTCTGTCTTGCTGGCCAGGGGAAAGAGCTAGGGGATAGATTTTATTCCTGGGCATATAATTGTGAGATCATTGTTTGGGCAGGGTTGGGAATGCTCTGTCTCAGGGGCTGCAGTCACTTGAATAGATGTAGTACGATCTGACTATGCTACAGGGACAGACAACTGAGCCTGCAGCAACCAAACCCACAAGTTTATTCCTCTATAAAACATCTCTTTATTAAAATACAATACTTTCTAATAACTACGATGCAGCATCAAGAGCAGCACACACTGCAAATGTCCCACGTGGGAGCTGTCTGGGAACATTTGCCAGAGACTATTCAATAACAGCAGTGATAATCTTGCTACCAATGTCTTTAAAGCCAACAGTCCTCACCTATAGAGCTGGACATCTCAGGCTGCAACAGGCTGCAACTAATCGGGTTAGCTGCTTAATACACAATAGCCCAATGTTTGCTGCTGAGCTCCACCAAGCCCTGTCCTTTTGTTATCTTTCCTAATCCATATCCTATCCCATGACGCTGCTAGACAGTTATTATCCAATATTATCCAACAGTAAAGAGGTAGGGCTGTGCCCCAGTGAGCTGTGTCCCCTCTGCTTTGAGAGGTGCATGGGACTTGCCTGGCTCAGTCCCTTTTGCTGCCCTTCAGCAGCTCACCCCTAACACCACCCACTTAATCAGAATTGAAGAAATGATGAGGAAAAAAACCCAGCTAAATATTCAAGTCTCTTTAGAGAACAATCCATCACCACCATGGAGTTAAACCCTCCAGGAAAACAAAAGAGCCTTAAGTCCAAACAGCAGAATTGAAAATACCAACAGGTCTAATTTGTTGACAGCTTAGTTGGTGTAGGCTTCTGTGAGAGACTCCCTGCTCCAAGAACCTTGTAGAAGACCTGGAAACAGGCTCTAAAACTGGTAAAAGACTTGGGCTAATAACAGCTCTACACTTTCACAAGACTGAAGTGGAAGGGAGATGAAAGGAAGGAAGGAATTACAGTCTGGGGAAGAACCCTCCTCACCCCATGGGAATGATTCATACTTACCTGGCCCCATCTCTGCTCTTAATAGAGCTGGGTGAGCCAACAAGGTTCTAACTCAAAACAAGGTTCATAACTCAAAACAAGGCTTCACTGTAAGCACCGCTGCCAGGACTTAAACCAAGTGATTTTTCCTGACTAGCCCTTTCTCCAGGGAAGCACAGCAGGCAGGGTCCTTGTTGTACCCTTTAGGTTGCCTGTGCTCAGTCTCCCAAGGCAGTTTAGGTACCAGAGGGGCTTTTACAGTTGGGAAAGGGATCAGAGCTTGTGTAGGCAAAGCCTTACACACCCGCCAGCTCCTGGAGAACAGAGATCTCTAAGCATGGATAAGGCCAGCAGTTCAAGCACCAACTGCTGCACTGAATTTAACCACTGGCACTCACCCACACGAAGGCAATTGGTTTTGCAGCCAAGTGTGTAAGCTGTTACTCTTCAGAAGACTGCCAACAGCTCAGTGCCTCTGGAAGCCCTCTCTGCCACCAGCCCCCCTCCACCTGGAGACACAGATCCACCCTCTGTGCTCCTACCAGTCCTGGCAGGGAAGCGCCTCACCATGCCAGCCTTGTTTCCAGATGAGCTGTCTGTGATCAACAGGCCCAGACAAGGAGAGCCCATCTGTCTGGGCTCTTTAGCAGTACAACACTTGGGCTTGCAAAGCTCCTCCTTCAACTTTCTCCCTTTAGAGGCTTCAAAGATGCCTGTCCTGCCTAGTCCCTTACCTGGGGAGGAAAAGCACAGCCACATGAAGAGCTCATCCCTGCCACATCTCCATTTTTAATTTCCAGTTTGGATCCCAGTGTTTACGACTATTTTTCAGAGACAGAATGAAATTGTTCTTGTCTGCAAGGTGTGGAAAGAGATCGCTGTAGGCTTTGATAGCCGATGTGCTGCCAGCGATGAGCATGAGGCTCTGGAAGAGGCTGGTGACATTTGATTATCACTTAGATCAGGAGAAAGAGGGAAAGCAACTTCCAAAGGCAAGGCTGACACTGTTACAAACGCGAGCAGAAATGACCTTCACACACAGCTAGCTCTCCCTGCTGCCAAGAACCATCCTCTCAGCCGCTATCATCTGAATCACCAGTACACCTGGGGCAGTGCTGCTTTACATCAGCCTCTGCTGCTCCAAAATCCAGGTGCTTTCCACTGGGCTGGGGAAAAGGGTGTGCAGTGGGTCCTGTGCAGCAGACACACTGCAAAGTCTGTACTGACCTCCCAGCTCAAGGAGGCTTGATTTTCTCAAATCATGACGGAAAGCATGGGTCAGCTTCCCATCCACACCAAGATAACGGGCATGTCTAAGCTGAAGCAGCCACTGTCCGTGTGGGAAGTTTTTCCCAACACAACAAACAGGCAGGCTGGCAGCTCCAGTGTTGCTCTGCTGCTCAGAGTGCTTTGCAAGAGAACCACCCTCAGCACCCATGGCTAAAACCAACTCAAGGAAAGTGAAGAAAAGGCACAGATTATATCAGGACAAAGAGTTCAAAACTGGCCATTGGCAAGCAGACAGGAAAAGTCCAGGAGACCATAAACCACCATCCAAGACCATTCTTTAGGATCTAAACTCTCTAAGCACCAACAAAAGACCAGCTCATGTTTAACTCACAGTCCTGCACTGGGAGGAGGGGACAGCAGTGATGTAAGGACATGGGAGAGGCCAGCTTGATAAATCTCAGCAGTACAGGATCCATCCTTACCCCAGAATCTGCAGCAAGAGCTTTTCTCTATTCCCTGCATCACATGGCTTTTTGATAAATCGTCCTTCCCAATAAATCTATCCCTCATTGTACACATACGGAATCCATTGCTCTAAGTAGCCACTGAGGTGCTGTCAGGGTCATTAACTATCATTATCTGGGGCAGCTGTTCCCCAGTGTGCTGATGTAGGAATCAATCAGGCTAAAGCATGAATTTCCCCTACACTTCTCCAAACACTGCCTTTGTCCCTCTCCATCAAGAGGTGAAAAAGAGGAACAGTTCAGCCTTTATGCCAAGGTTTAGCAGTCCTCATACTGGAAGGAGCTGGCTAAAGGGAAAGCAACAGCAGATGAGGCAGGCATCAGGCTGTCACAGAGACAGGATGAGCTCTGACTGATGTCTTTACCAGGAAAGAGGAGGCAGGGTGATTGGAAACAGGCCAGTCAGCTGAGCAGAGATCACTCTTGGAAAAAAAAAAAGTAGAAGGAAAAAAAAGGACCCAAAACTTCCTCATCCTTTAGTACCCCTTAATGAGATAACCCTTCTCTGAAGAACGGGAGGGCTTTCAAACCTTTCATGTGCTCAGACAACAAAGGGGAAAAAACAGACATTCAGGATTTTCACACCATCCAAGGTCAGGATTCGTTAAATCAAGCTGTTCAACATCTGAGGCTTGAGAGCTCAAAATCCAACTTCATTTTCCCGGGTGACAACTGCTTAACCCCATCTCAGGAGTTCTCTAGAACAGAGGATCTCTGTTCCTCTCCAGTGACTGCCAGCATTTCCAAACAGGATGAATTCATGAAAAGGGATGATACAGGATGAATTCAGGAAAAGGGACAATACCCAACTGCAGTCAGGTCAAGAGTGTGTGTGGTGGGAAATACTCAGAGAAGCAGCTTTTCTTCTTATTCCAGGTCGGTGATAGGTATAAACAGAGCTAATTCTGTGCTTGAGTGGACTGGACTTATGAACCAGGAGACCGTTGACCTGCAGAAATGCTGGTTATTAACCTGCAGAAATGCTCTTTATTAGCCCTGAATATCAGTTAGTCTGTCTAGGTTACACAAAAATAGACAAACCTGAACATAAGCCTCCACAACACACACACACACACACACTTCTCAGCCTTTAAGGGCATGTAGACACACAATTCAGACAAGAGGCAGCTGCATCTTTGAATGACAAAGGCATTGGATTAAAAAAAGGAAAAAAAAAAAAAAAGAAAAAAGAGGTAGTGATGTCTTATTTCTCTTCAGGGAATGACCTATCTTCCCAGAAGTTCTTGGCAATAAGATTTTAGAGAGAACTCATGGGAGCGGGGCTTCCCAAGGACAACACACATTGGTTTGGGGGTTTCCAATGCAGCACATCCTACCATAAAAGAAGACCCAGGAAAATAAAATGCAAACAGATAATAAAACTAAGGGTGGAAAGTCTGACAGAAGCACCTTTTGTTCTCGGATCAAAACAAAGATTCTTCAAAGTCTGTTGCACACATGCTGTGAGAATGAGAAACAACTGGTGGATATCACAGACAGCCCCCATGCAGGAGACTCTTCCAAACCCTTTCTGCCTCTCACACAAACCAGACTAAAACTTCATCTACCTACCACGCCTGATTGAGAACACTTTGTCTTGCTTTAATCAGAAAATTCATCCTAGAATAAAATCCTTCTCCTCAAAGATTTATTAGGCCTGCACAATTGTCCTCAAAGAGGTTGTTTTGAAAAGCACTTGCTTCCAAACAGGAACATCTTGCCAAAGAGAAGCGTCAGTGGCGTGACTCAGGTTCCATCAGTGGTAAAGAGGTGGCCGGGACTCTGCCAAGACTCACCTATCCATCTCATGAGGGACGTCATGATTTGAAGATACTTGGTCTTCTGCACATTGAAGAAGGTGAAAGGACCCAAGAGGAGAGTGAATGCTGCCTGGAAGGAGAACAAAAACACACACATTAGATTAAAACCCAGAAATTCTGCCAGTAAGACAAATTTATTAGTAGAACAAAGCTTGCACTGAAGGTTCACCTCCAGACATGTCCGTTTGTCATGAAACTTTCTTTTGTTGCTTAATTTTACAGCTAAGTTGGCTGACACACAGGGGGTCAAGCGAGCTGTTTGGTATCAGAGAACATGCCTGGGGCAGAAGTAGAGCTCAGGATCCTCTTGGCTCTTGGCCACTTGCTATCACTGCTCCAGCACTCCTTTACTGACACATTTCAGTAAAAGCTCTCAGTGCAGCCTTACGGAACATTAAATATTAAACTGTGGCCTCTTTGCCCGGGTACATGCTCAGTTTAGGTCTGAATAGCAATAGCCCTGACCAGTCTGCCTGCATTAACATTGATGGGGTGGCTTCAGGGTATCCCAGGCTCAACAGCAATGGAGCCAGGTCTGCCTGGAACTTTTTTCCCCCAAGCTTTAGGTTGCTTGTATAAAAGATATAGTTTTTTTATATATGGAAAAACATATAGTGGGAAGCTATAGTGTAACAGTTCAGCTCTTGACTTGCAAGCTTGGACCTGTGCAAAGTGAGGAAAAAAAAAATCAGAGATACTCATAAGAAAGAACTTAATTCAATGTGAAAATTAAAGGTTCTGTCAATGAAGAGAGACCTTTCTTCACTGCCCCCTTAGATGTGTATTAAGAGACCAGTGTTTCATAGAATCACAGAACAGCTTGGGTTGAAAGGGACCTTAAAGCCATCTAGTTCCATCCCCCTGCCATGAGCAGGGACACCTTCCACTAGACCAGACTGCTCAAAGCCCTGTCCAGCCTGGCCTTGAACACTTCCAGGGATGGGGTAAACTGAACTGTGGTTTGCTGCAGCACCAGTCTGTTGCATCTCTTTTAGCCGGGTTACAAAAACATCCAACAAAGATCCATCCTAGAAATTTGGACTACACAGCTTCCCAGGTGAGTTTCTTCTAGCACTCTCCTAGAGCACACAAGACAACCACGTTGCCAGCCCATGCCCAGAGGTGATGTCCTCTGCAGCACTGTCACCTCTCTCTGGGCACCAAGTGGCACTCAAGCCCCACCTACCCCAGAGAGAAGAGAAGAGGCTTTGCTGCAGGAAGAAACAGGCTTTGGCTGTGATCTGAATGTAGACTGAAAGAAGCTATTTGTGACAGGGAGACAAAATAGGTGTTACAGAAGAGAGCCCTGCCTGTCATCCATGGGATAGCACCAGCTAGTGATACACTAACAGGTCCAAACACTGTAAGCAGGCAGTGTTTAGAAAGCCACAACACACACAGACCAGGTTAGTAGAGCATCCCAAAGGGATTTTTAAAGACAAATATTCAACATTAATATTTACACATTGCTCTTTTCCGTGACTTCTTAAAGCAGTTCAAGAAAAGGTGTCACCAGAAGTGAAGAACTGGGACTCAAAGGGGCAGGCTGCCGAGCCTCAAGGTCTCTGTCGACCCCAACAGAGTCAGGGACAGAACAGAATTCAAGCTATTTTAAGACCAGTACAACCCCCAGAAACCTTTTTTGAGACAGTTTCAGAATATCTGCAAGGCAAATTGGAAATGCCTCACATCACAAGTACTCTCAGACGACCAAAGTAAACCCAGAAGGGGACCAGGGGAGAGAACCCTCGGTTTGACTCGTCACTTGGTGAAGACATATCCTGATCTGAGGCCATCGCTTACACCAAGTCTTGTTTTTTCTGCTTGCTAAAAAAAAGGACAGGAAGCATGCACAGAATTCAGATTTGTGAAGCAACTGATGGCTGTTGGAGGAAACACTGAAATCACACAGAATACACCACCACAGGCATAACTGGCAAAGACTAGCAGCTAAACCAGCATTAACAGTTATGACGCTTCCAGTTTTAACACAGAAGCAAACCAGCCAGTTAAAAGCCTCTCTCTTTTTTGTTTTTTATTTTTTTAATCTTCTCCCTCTTGTTCCTTTCTTCTAAACAGGAGCTTAACCCTACTCTCCTGCTCTCTACGGACTGCCATTCTGTCCTAGGACAGCACACAAACCCCAAAGGACTAAATAAACTTTAGATTGAAGAGCAACATAGGGCAACAACCCAGAGCAAACCATAGACACCAACTCTCTTACTGAAAATTATTCTTGAGTTTGTGACTAATCTCTTTCAACCTCCTCTCCCCCAAAACAGACACTGCTCAACACAGCTTCCCTTCAAATCACGTTAATAGCTCCTGCGTCAGCAAGCGCTGAAACACAAAGAGACGGACGAAGGATGGTGATAATTAAGGAACAGGTGTCTGCTGCAAATGAGAATGCACCAGAACCAATTGGCAAAACAGCCCCTCAAACCATAGCAAGGATTGACACAAAATCACCGAGCACACAGCTGTGTGTGAAATCCAGATTTGTCTCACACACCGAGGAAAGAGCTGTGTTAAGGTAGAGGTGGGACTGAAAAGCACCAAAAGCATCATTAGGTGCTGGAAGAACCTGTGTCTCTTACATGCTCCCCAACATCTGCTAAAGAAGCAGAAAGAATTCTTCTGATTTACTCTCCACCTTCTGCAGTGATTCTCCAGTCCTCAAAGCACCCTAAAAAATTAAATCCATTGAGCAAAGCTTTCAACTCTGCTCCTCTCTGGGTGTTACTGCTCAGCTCTCCGGGAACAGGCCCAGGTTGTTGTGCTTGAATGGCTGGATTCCCCTCCCATCCTTTAGCATGATCAGTATCTTCTGCTCTTAACAAGATCCTGGAGCTGGTCCAAAGGAACCAAGTGAGAGATTAATTCTAGTGCAATAAAAATTTATTACCTTTTCCACTTGATGTCCATTAGTGATCCAAGATGGATATCCATGGATCAATACAAACAATGCTAAGGCCTGCAATGAGATAAGGGTGCCCTGCTCTAAAGGGATTTGTGCCAACCACTTTTATGAATGGAGGCCACAGCACACACTGGACTGCTTAGAAGGAGAAAGGCTGGGCAGAACAGGGCAGTAAACAGCCAGATTAACATAATTTTGAAGTGCAATGGTGTACAGCTCCACCGGATTGAGCACAGGGCAGGACAAAGGGGTCAGCTCCTCACCAACAACCAGGACACAAGGAGCAAGGACTTAGTCCTTGGATTAGAACTAATCTCATCATCAATCCTCAGAAGAGTCCCAAGGCCAGGAACCCTATTAAAAACATCCCTAAAAGCACGAGAAGAGACCACAATGCTTAGCAGGAGAATGTCTACTTTCTCTACCTCGTTGTGCCAGACACCTCAAATGCTCTTCCAACCCATTAAGTTAATTAGTTTCATAACTTCTCCCTAAGGAAAAAGTAAATCCAAATAAGCACTTCAGACACATACCCAAACTTTCCACCTGATGTTTCCCAAGATCAGGTCTCTCCCAGAGGGAAATAATTTACAGGGTGCTTCACTACACATGTAATTCAAACTATCTAAAACCCACATAGAAACCTGCACCAGTCATCCCTGCCAGAAATCGAATATGCAGATCCCCAACACATCAAAAAGCTCTCCCAAGTTTTCCAGTTCACCTCTTGAGCCAGCCAAGATATGTTCTAGGAGTTTATCATTCTCTTCCTAAGATTCAGCAAATTAACCCAAGGCAGAATGACCGTAGTCTACTTTGATTAAAGATTTTTCTACTAATGAAGTGGTTTTGTATTAGAAACAAACAGGCACATGTGGCTGATTCATTGCTAAACTCAAAGGAGGTAAAGGAATGCTTCCCTTGGCTAAGGAGGAGAATTGGATCTATTAAATACTGTTCATATTCACAGGATGGCAGAGAGAAACCTTTACAGTGCTTTTGCACAGGGCTGCCTATTAAGAGTGATTCCCTAATTTCTGTCCAAACTCCTCTATTGAACAGGAAAGGCCAGAAAAGTCCCCAGGCTCATAGTGGAGGGTATGTGGAACCCACACATAGCAAATAAATGTAAAATCCTTTCTTTTTCTTTCCTTTCTTATGCTGAAAAACAGCATGAAGATCCAGCATGCTAGTGTCTGAAAAACCACTGTTTTTCTTGCTTATACTGACATTTCCAGTCAGAAAATGAGAAGTCAGTGAGGGTAGAAGAAAGAACAGCAGCTTGTCACCCTGGATTACACTCTTCCCTGCAGGTTAGTAGGAGCCACAAGCAGCACACCAGCTTGTTCAACCCCTGGGAGGGTCTTCAAATCCATTCCTCCCACCAAGCCAAGCCATAGCAGTACAGGCACCAAGGTTTGGGAGCTTCTCTGAGCCGGCAACTCAGCTGACACCACTTTCCCAGCCTCTGCACCGCACCTGTCAGCTCTCAGTATTTCAAAATGAAAAAGCAGGCTGGTCAACTCGAGTCTTCTTGCCACAGGGGAACTAGCTAGGGCTTACCATTGCCTGGAATATATTTTTATATATATTTATATATTTCTAAAAGTATATTTTATTAAAGCTCTTATGCTAAAACTTGGTTATGTAACCTTGTTTATTGGCTTATCTTAAAAAAGCAAAGAGTAAGATCAAGCGTTAATAGGACATCTGGCTGGTTTTTATCAGCTTAGTTTCAGCCAAGAGGACCACCAAGAGAGCTCTCAACCACTAAGTGATGGCCAGCTAATGCCAAGAGTCTTTCAGACCATACAAACATGCCTCAAGCCAGTCAGAGGGCTGTTTGACCAAACAGGTTCTTTATTGACCTGAAGGGTCCATCCATCACTCTGAACCAGTACAATTCAATAGCTTTCATCTGCTTCCCAGCATGTGGCTTTTACAAAGGCAGCCAATACAGCTCAGGAAGCACAATTAGCATCCCAAACGTGGCTGATTCATGTATTAGATGCAGTAGTTACAGCATTATGGCTAGTGCCTGCATACATTTGCAAGAGGACCATCTCAAAAGCCAGCCTCATTCATAACTGTCATCAGAACTTGCTTGTTTTTATGCTCCACAAACTCATCTGTAAGAATTGCATCTGTCT